ATCCAATAGGGCACCGGCAGGAGACCGGTTTCCCCGATTCTTGGCAGCCACATTCCATGGAAGTTGCACAGAAAAATAAATGATGTATTTTATGGCATATTTTACCAGTCATTTATACAGTGAAAACTTAATTATTGAAGCAGTTAAATTGAGGCTATTTTTTCTTATAAATCGATATTAAAATAAAAAAAATATTTTAGATAGAATCATTAATATGTAAATACAAGTGACTATTAATTTATCTTTATAAATAATTTATTAAAATAAAACAAAAAGAAAATCGAACAAAATTATGCACATGTTTAATTAACGTTTATTAAAACTTTATCGATTGCCCACTTTTTTTAATTATCAATTTGCCTCTATAATCTAATGGTATAATGATTAATTTTATACAAAAATTGTTTTAGTGCCTTAAAATAAAGGAAAAGTTGTTTGACTTACAAGGTAAAAATAAAATCAACCGCATGTGTTAAAAATTAAAATTTAAAAGCAGGATCAATGCAAATCGAAGTAAACATGGGAAAGGATGCCCAGAAGCCATTTCCATTCGGAGTCCTTCCGATTTAAAGGACCCACGCAGTTGAAAATCAGGGCACACTGGCAATAGAAAGCGAAGGATCGTATAAAAGGACAATTCAACCCAGATCTCCTCAACACGTATCGAAGTTGAGATAAGAAGGACTTTGTAAGGATATACCAACAGCCTTTTAGGCCCTCATGATGGTTTCACAAACGAATTGAACCTAGAAAAATCAATAGATTTTAAAAGTCAAAAACAACCTTTAGTGCAGCAAAATTTATATCGAGTATGCCAATCGACTTTTGGTCCTTCAACCTTCTCGTATGATTAATTATCCTTTCCCCAAGCAAAGAGCTTATGTTAGAACCCTTTCAAGCCGATGGATTTTTCTAGGAGCAATTCATTTGAGAAACCATCAGCAAAAAATGTTGGGTGAATATCCTTACCAAAGTCCACACAACTGATACGTTTTAAGAAAATTGGGGGTTGACATTGTCCTTATACGATCCTTACGCTTCCTGGCCTCTCAAAGCCATGGATTAGCCAGTGGCTTCAACTGCGGGGTCCTTAAATGCGGCAAAGGACTCGAATGGAAAATGGCTTCGGTCATCCTTCCCAATGTTTACTCGATTGCATTGATCCTGCATTAAATTTAATTTTGGACACATGCGGTTGATTTTATTTTACCTTGTAAAGTCAAACAACTTTCCTTTATTTAAGGCACTAAAACAATTTTCTATAAAATTAATCATTATACCATTAAGATTATAGAGCAAATGTGATAATTAAAAAAGTGGGCAAATATAAAGTTTAATAAAATAGTTAATTAAAACAAGTGTCCAATAATTTTGTTCAGGAAATTTGGTCCATTATTTGGTTTTTATTTTAATAAATTATTTATAAAGATTAATTAATGAAGTCACTTATTTAACATAAAATTAATGATTCTATCTAAAAATATTTTGTTTTATTTTAATATCAGCATATTATAAGAAGAAAAATAGCCTCAAAGTTTAACATGCTTGCTGTGCCAATAATTAAGTTTGTCACTGTACATATGAACAAAGTAATAATCAATATTGTTTTTTAACTATACAATACTTTTTCATTAACATTGGTATTAAATGAAACTAAATTTACATAGTACATAACCAAAAAAAAGGTTTACTTGTTTTTATGATAAGTAAACTAATTATAATAATATTTTTCTCTGTGCACCTGAGAGTGCGCCCCTCCTTCTGTTAAAAATCACTTATGTTTCGTCATCCTCGTCGACTCCACTCATTTAACATTCAAAACGCTTCTTTATTAGCTCGGGCCCATTACCCTGCGATTTATGCTGCCCGTTTGCACATGCATAATGCATTCAAAACGACTTTGCCATCGCATTTGTTCTGTGGTTGCAACTTGCAAGCTTGTCATCTGCAATCTGTAGTTGCAACAATTGTTGGTTCTCTGGCGTCGGCTCTGGCTAAGTAACCTCTAATTAAATTGCTGTCTGCGGCCTTCGCCGGCAGCTTTCGATGCTGAATGGGGTGGGATTGGGACTATTCTGAAGCGGCTTGAATGGATCGCTTAGTTTTGAGGTCTCTCGTTAACGCATCGCCGGTGTTTGCTGCAAGTTTGCAAGTGCCGAGAAGATTGAAACCCGAGTTTCTTGGTAGTTATGCCATTGGCATTGAAACGGGCCGTTGAAAAACGTTGTTTTTTACAGCCAAACTGCAGGGGCGAACGTGCTAAATTAATTTTTTTAAACTCACAAAATGTTAACCATCGAAAAACATTTTGATTATTATTGCATTTACCTAAGGTTTGTTGTAAGCTTTAATACCTCACTTCCAATTCAAAAAAAACTAACTTAAGTACTCATAAGACTAACATTTTAATGGTTTATTGGACACAATGTCCTATAATAATTAATTAGAGCACTTCAAGTTAAATGAATGAAAATAGTTTTGGCATTTATTGCATATTTGAGTAAAAAAAGGACAACCATTTCAGTAAAAGAATTTTTGGTTGCTTAGGTCAACTAATAAATACTATATTATTTAAATTAAATTTTTTTTAGTGATATTAAAAATATTAATAGTATATTTTTGCCCTTAATAAGTTTCTATAGTATCCAATACCACTGGAAAGATCGTAAATTTATATTTCGAATTCCCAGTTTAACGGCTCTGGAGCAGTTGTTCGCGATATGTTTCACGTTTCGCAATGCACAAATATTATGGCATATTTAAAAAAATAATTGCCAACGTTTCCACATGTGCGAAAATTAAGTTAGTGTGATATTCTCTGGCGCGCACAACACCAAATATGATTATAACAATAGCGTAATTAAATAAAAAACGGCAGCAACTCAGAAGTGGAAAAACAAAATACAACAAAGCTATCACAGCAACAATAAAACAACAACAGCAACAACCGAAATAAGCAACAACAACGAGGAGGCGAATGATGTTGAAAGTCGTTTTGCGGGTTTGACCACTGTATTGTGATCCCAACTCTCAGAGAGCAAAATGTACACAGAAAAAAACAACACGATCAATTCTAAATGCGCGACTGAAAACTGTATTTACATTTTTAATAAAATTTTCAAAATTTATTTATTTTAACACCTTGTTAAAAAAAATCGGGTTCAAGTCCGACCGGTATCTACTTAATTTTAATACTTTATAGCTTAGTAAATATCGTTTTGAGATTGTAAACATACAGATTATAGTTCTGGTATTTGGCCCAAAATGCTGAATTATCAAATCGATCATCTGTCAATCATCTATTTTTCTATCTGTGTGGAGAGCAGAGAGGCGATCTGAGCCGCAAAAAGAGACAGAGAAGCTAAAGCTAGACTTACCAAAATGTTTATGTTTTATATATAGACTTCTCGGCAGCTCCAATTGTAAATTGACTATTTCAGCACTCTGCTTAATGGCTTATTGTTGTTGCGAAAGCGAATATAAATACACGTATATTTTTCACGCCAGACTTTTGGCTTCCGCGTTGACAACAATAACAAAAACCACACTTTTCTCTTGCACTTTAAACCATTGAACGATTTCTATGGCTTGCCATTAATTCGCAATTAATTGCATTTTCAATTTCCATATTTCAATAACACACACACACTCGCAATTTCCCCTCTCGTTCACCTTTTTCCACACGCTTGTTGCTTTTGCTTGCGGTTTCTATTTATTTCCCCTCTCACTAACTTGATTTCCGCACAATAGAACAGACAAAATTGTGTTAACAATATTTTAGTGTGTTTGTTTACTCGAAAAAACGGAACGCGAAAAAACCGCCAGCATCCAGCAGCGCGCACGTCCGACTCGTTCGATGGTATTTTGTTCAATAATTTGGCGTTTTCCACTGTAGCGGAGCTCGCGGCGACTGCGACGCAGGTAGCGGCTGTGCAGAGAGAGAGAGAAAGAGAGCGCTGGAGCGGTACAGTGGATAATTTCACCAATCTGGCTTTAACTTTTATAAATCTTTAGTATCTGTGTGCATTGTATGGACATTATTCAACTTAATTTATTCCGTTTAAATAGTTTTAATAATATTTGGTCTATGATTTTAAAAAAGTTTTCAAAAAATGAGTGCAAATCTTTATCTATATTCATTTTAATGTCATTACTTTTCTCGACCTGAAATGGCGTTATGTGCCACGGTAAGCTGAGTAGGCGACGCTGACGCTAACGTCAAAGTCGGCAGAATGGTGAGCATCTGGAAGCGAAATTTTAACAGTGCGTTAACAGAAAATGCAAGTGCACAGTTTAGCAATGTTAATGGGTGAATTTGTGGTTACAAGTGGATAATTAAAAAAAATTAAAACGTTTATAAATAATAAAACATTATATGTTAAAATCTGATATTAAATGTATACAAATTTAGGTTGTACATTTATTTTTTTTTTAAAAGTATATTTGCTGATGAAACATTTGCATTTTGGTGGTACTTAGATGATAAGTTTTTTTTTTAAATTTGGAATTTATAAATTTAAGACCTTAAGCATATACATATTTTTTTTATAGTTTATTTAAAGATAAATGTTGTAAACAGATAAAATAATAATATTTAAAACGCATTTTAAAAAATTGCGACTACTGGGCAGTAAGAAATTTATTCCATTCAAGAACATTTTTGCACCAATGCTCTTAGCACGTTTACCTGGCAACAATGGGCGCCCACAACAAATCCCGGACAGGTGAAACCGGTTCCAACCTTCTACGGTTTTTGTTTGACAAACAAAACGCTTGACTGCTGCGGCAACAGGAAATAATCAGGAAATATGTTTTTCTTTCCGATATACGAATATAAAGGGCGTAGCCTAGTGTAAATGATATGTAAGAGCCGACGCCCCCTAATAAAAGCGATAGCTTCAAATCAAACACGAAATTGGGAGATGTGCCGCCCACTTTAAACAGCCGCCTGGCACTGAACATGCACTCATCTGCCCACAGCACCAGCTTCGTTTCGTTAATTTCGATACAATCAATTAGCATTTCAATGCTACATTTATTTCCAGAGCAGTGAAAGTAAACAGTGGGATGGTTGAGGAGATAACGGATTGGGGGTGGATGAGAGCTGCACGCAAATCCAATGATCCCATCGGTGACTCACTGGAGGATCTCGTGCTGCCAGTCCATCAGATTCAACTGTGGCTTGAAGCGCTTTAGGGGACCTAAAGAAGAAAAGATTCACATTAGACAAGATAGTAAAGCTACTTTGTAGTCAAAAATGTAATTATTTTAACGCTTATTACTGGCATAGAGATCTATTTTTACATAGGCTTATATATCAGGATAAAAGGAAATAAATATAAGTCATTTAAAGGACTCATCTTCGGATGAGGATTACTGGAAAAAACTAAAATTATTTAAATAAATTAATAATTAATAATAGTTAATGCAGAAGTTAAAATAATTTGAAAAATCAATTTTTAGGATCAAATGAAAATGAAACTATATTAAAATAAAAACACCTACTTATCAAGGCATATCGCTGCTCCTTCTGCAGCGCCAAGTAATCCACATTGGGTCCCGTAAGATGCTGAGCCATCGATCCGTTGCCTAGCAGCTCAGGTGTCCAGATCTCGTCCAGCGCCGCCTCCACCGCTTGCAGCAGAGTCTTGAATTCACGCTGCAGTGAAGCCGCCAGGGGATCCCCATCCGCTGCACCTGCGAGCTGTAGCAACGCTTTGCATGTGTCACGCACAGGCTGCTGTTGTTGGGCGATCTTCGTGACGTGGTTGTGCAGCGCATCAATGAGCGCGATGTCTTCGAAGGGGTTGCCAGGCTTTAGGCTGAGCAGCTTACGTTCGTGCTTGCGTCGGTTTTTGCTCGAGCGGAATGTCTTGCTAAAAAGGAGGAACAGTGGAAAAGTGAAACTCTGGCCGGGTGCATTCGAGCATTTATTGGCTTACCCGGTGCCTCGCGAAGTACCGCTATAGCGCGAGGAGTGCAGACTGGTGGTGTCCGACAACAAGTCCACCTCCTCGAGGTCCACATCCGCATCGTTATCTCCCTCCCCGTACTTTGCCTGGCGCTGACGGATGTCCAGCAAACGCTGCTTATACTCCAGGAAGAGCTGCAAGTCGGCATGCAGGGAATTTTGCAGTTGAGTCCCATAGGCTGTGAGGGCGGGTGCGATTTTCTCTGCTAACAAAAAATTTTCGTTACTTAACATAAATTAAATTTTGTTAAAGACTCACCCAACCCTTCTCCCTCTTCCAAGCCCGCCTCGTAGATAGCCCGGCTGTAGAGATGGCCCTCCAGCAGCACTTCTAATTGCCGTTCCCGACTTCCGCCGTGCTCCTTTACCAGCTCATAGGCTTCCATGTGGCGACCTTGCTGTTGCAAAGGTCCCACCAACGATTGGGCAACATGGTCCAGTGGTTCGCCCAGTTTTTTGGCCAGAACCAGGACGCGTTGCCAGTCTAGCGTGTGCTTGGCGCTGAGTAGCGCCTGCTGCAACTGTCCTCCGCGCTCGTACATGAGGCTTGCGTTATCCAGTTTAGCATTGGCCCTTAGGTGATCCGCATAGGCCACACAAATGCTCTTGTGGAACTCAATGTGCTCCCGATAGCAGGCCAAGCCAGCTGTGTAAAGTCCATGCTTTCGAATAAACTCTAGAGCCTCCTCGTAATGCTCCTCTCCACAAGCAGCAAGATGGGAAAGAGCCGAGGAGTATCTTTTAAGATGATCATCGATCCGGAACTTGCGGTAGTCTGTGGGTAAAGCCTTTAATTCGTTAAGGTAAGGCAAGAACTCTTTGGGATCTTTCTGCGACTTTTGGGACACGAAAATAACGAGTCCGAAGTCGTAGGTGCCCAATGCAACGTTATACAGATCGTTCACGTCCACAAGATAAAGCAGATACTTCAGTAGCTGATCTGCCAGAGCGACATTTGCCTGTTTCTCCCGCCAAATAAGTTGAAGAGCCTGTTCCAAACGACCCAACTTTACATAGGCGGTGATTACAGGCAGACGGAAGCGCTCGATATCCTCCGGGCGCGTTGCCTGATCCATTCGCTGACCCAGAAGCCGGCAGACGTATTCCACCTTCTGCTCCACTCGATAGTCCGAGGGATAAGTTTGCTTGGCCGCTTCATAGTTGCTGGAGTACATGCCCTTGGCGAAATCCTCGTTTTGCAACTCACTCAGGAACAGACAAAGCCACTGACTCTGCTTAATCTCGCGTAAAAAGATATCCACAGAAGCCACGAACTGCTCCACATTGTGATCACAAATAATGTTCAAGTTGATGCGTTGCTTGCGCAGCATTTGCATTGCCGCCTGGTATTGCTTCCTCCCGAGCAAAGCGCCCACCAACTCCAAGACGAGCACCCGAGGGCAAATGGCTTCCAGGTTGCCGCGCGGGAGTTGCAGCACAACACGTGCCTCACTGGCCACTGCCGTCACCAGCTTGCCACCACGTTCGATGTTTCTGCTAGCCACCTGGCGGCGATCCTTCAGTCGAACGAAGTGCAGCGCATTTAGCTGGGTGTAGGCTAAATAGTTACCCACCACGCAGAACGAAGTGACGTCCTCGGCAATGCGGTAGCCATCCATGTGAAGCAGCTGTTGATTGCGAAGGGTAATAAGTCCACCTAGGGAGGGGAATTAAGTTAAAAAAATAATTAAACATGGTAAAATAGTAATAGGTACCTGTAGAATCGCTAGTGATGGTAAACCACTCGATATGGTCAGCTGCCTGAGTCAACTGCACATGAGATCGCTCCACCTTGAGCGTATTGTCCGACTTCAAAGACACCTCGTAGGTGTGGCCATTATTTACTGTTTGCACATAGAACTCATCCATTGCATTGGCTCCAATGGTCAGTGCATTTACCAGCCCACTGATGCGCAGGGAGCTCTGCACCCGGTAACAGAGCTCGCCCTTCTCGTTAATCTCATCCTCGTCGGGATCCTTGTTTAGCAGTATTAGGCGCGTGGATCCTCCCGAGCTGTGGGTAGCTAGCAGGTAATCACACGAAAAATAGGTAAGGTTGGCGAGTGGTAGCCGTGAAAGCTCTGCATCCGGCATAAGTAGGCATGCCTGTGGTTCCTGGCCGCTCAACTGCTGCATGGGTTCGTAGGAGTACAGCCGGTGGTCGCAAGTGTATACACACAAGCTGGTCTCGTACCAGGTGAAGGCGTTAATATAGTTGTCCAACTGCAGGACGCGCTGACACATGGGCGGCGGCACCACGGCCTTGGCGAAATCCGTAAGTAGCAGCCGCTTGCCATCGATTACGCCCACGACTCCACTTCGCTCGTATCGATCCACTGCGAAGGCCCAGCGGTATACAAACTGTTTGCCGCTCTCCTTGAGAATGTGCAGCGTGTGTTCAGCTCCCATTCGCGTGTCCCACTGAAGTAGAGCCAGTGAATCTACTTGGTCAAAAATCAGCACCTGCTTCAAGTACCAGTGGTAGTTGCCTATCGTATACAAATATACCCGTTGCTCCTCCTTGGCAGCTGTCCTGATGGCAAGAATGTCGGAATCTTCGCTCCAGCGCAACTGAACCACAGGCTCCTCTTGCAAATCGAAGGGGAGCACTAGTTCGCGATGCCTTAAGCCATTCTTCTCGAAAAGAGCGATGGTCGACTTGTTGGGAAATCGCTGGGGCACTGCGATCCAATTTCCGGCCGGTCTCCAGGCAACTACCTCCTGCAAATGTACACTCTTCTCGGCTGTGTGATGGAGTTTTCCCTCGCAGTCGTAAACCCTAAAGGTGCGTCCCACCTGAGCGGCCACAAAGGAGACCACAAAAAAGGCTCCATCGCCGCGCCAGGATATGTTAACATCCTGAAAGCGATTACAAAAGATTAGTTTGTATTATATTAAAATTTAGTAGATTAAAGTTACCTGATTAAGCTCCTGCCAGTCCTGGTTAGCGGTGGAATCCCCTTCCTTCAGCTTGGCAGCTTGCTTTCCTTCAGATCCATGGAACTGCGTCTCTTTCTTGCCCCACCCCACGTTGACAAACTGCTGATCCGGCGCCAGTTCCGCGTCAAGTGGCTGCTCGGCAATCACATCGAAGGTACTGGTCATCAATACCACGTTGTGGGTACGGGTCACAAAAGCCACCACCTCCTGATTGGGCGACCAAGCCATCCGCTCGATACCCACGTCGCAGTAGGTGCCCTCGTTGGTGGATCCCGTCTGGGGATCGACCAGGAGCACTTCGCCCGCTCCGCTGGCAACGCAGATGGCATTATCCAGCTGCAGATACTCCACACCCACAATATCCGGCAGATCGACAATGACTTTTGGCCGGATATCTCCAGACTCCTGCACGGCGTAGATTTTGCTATCTGCCACCACGAAGGACTTATCTGAGGTGTCACCGTTCAACTCCGGCTGAAGGAGCAGCTGCCGGGGATGAGCCACTGCATCCAGCTCCTTGCAATATTGCAGCTTCAGATTGCGCATATTTCGTAAATATTGCACGTGTGGAACTGTGTGACCAGAACTTTTTTTCCCTGCTGATTTCAGTAAATAATTTACTTGAGGGTATTCCCCTTATTTTACTATTGAATCCTAAAATATTTATCAGTATTTCACCACATGTTCCTTAAATAAAATGTAGAGCCTTTTAATTTATTATTTACTAAAAATCCAAATCGTCAAAATCTTTTCATAACTCTAGTTTGGTATTCAATAATGATCACAAATTCCACAGGAAACCCTAAACTTTCTTATTAAATCTGAATAAATTAAATCGACAATATAACGAAGGGAAATTTATAATGTTAAATAGCTCCTTGAATTTTCTATTATTAGAAGGCCACCATCAAAGTAAAACCTAAAATAAAATATAACTAGAAATGATATAATGGAGCCGAAACGACATCGCCAAGAAAGGTTAACATTCAAGCACTACTTTCGACTGGCCACACTGCATGTCAGCAAAAAAAAGGTTGAACAACACTAGCGCAAGATGGCCGCTCTGCTCTCGTGTGAATTTTTTGTTTAAATTAAGATCGCTGGTGCTGCGGACTGTTTAAGCAAACGAAATATATTCGAACGTCATGCGTGGGTTGCACTGAATCGGATGCAAGTGCGGATATGCATCAGCATCAACGGAAGAGGGCCGAAAACACGGAGAACAGAAGCTAAAATTCCACAAAACCAGCAGCCAGTTGTTGGTCACATTACGCGCGTGTGTGTGCGTGAGAGTGCTTGTGCAAGTGTCTATGTGTATTTATATTCCACATATCGGATCGGAAAGGTGGTGCAAATGTTTATAAATATATTAAGATACACCTTAATTATATATGCGTGATAATTCAAATGAAATGTGCATGTGGCTGATGGCTTGAAGCGCCAGCACAGGCAGCAGCCCAGTAAGCAGCGACGTCGGCAGCGCAGCAGCGTCGGATTGGAATGTTAATGAGGAGCAACAACAACAACAACAACAAAAACAAAGCAAAACAGACCAACAAATAACTACTAAAGTTGAAATCCAGAAAAACCGCATTGAAAATCGGGTAAGCTATATAGTTTTAGTATAATGCTTTTGGTAACGCTTTGGTATCTGCTTGTTTTTGAGCCCGTTTTAAGGACTCCGCCCAACGCCCTTTTTTGCAGCGTCGCGCTGTCTGCTTCCTTAATACACTTGTCGCTGTGTGAGTGCTGTGTGTCCGTGTGTGGGTGTGAAAGTGACGAAAGCTTGCAAAAAAAGGATATCGCAACTCGGCAAATAAAAAAGTACCGAAAAAACAGTCTGCAAATAGCTTTGCACAATTCAAACAATGAAAAACAAATATTGCATAAATCTTTTGCCTCTTCATTATGATAATTATAAATGAAGATAAAAGTGGCAACAAATAACGAAATACTCGTAAAAGCATACAGTAAGCACTCTAGGCTGTAACCCCATAAAAACCAAAAGTTTAATAGTATGGATTGAACTGTGCTTCTTTTTATGCAATTTCTTCTCAATATCTAATTTTAAATGAAAACAACACGTTTTAACTTTTATTTTAAATTGAAAAAGGCTAAAATAATAAGTTAAATGATAAAAGTTCAACTTTGGCAATTACTGTGCGTTTTCTTTAAAAATTATGCAAAAGTGCACACCATAGAGTGTTTACTGTATTCGTTTGCCTATTTTTGGGTCAACTATTTGCAGCTTCTTTATATTTGTATTTTAATGCTGTTGTCTGAGGTCAACTAGTTGGCTTCAAAACGAAAGCAAAATCAGAAATCATAATAAAAATCACAAAAACTACGCATTTTGGTTCCAATCAAAGCGAAAACAAAAACACGTTTTACAACTTTGCGGCGCGAAATTTCTTGTTGTTGTGCTGGATTTTGAATAGCAAACATACACACACGAATATAATATATATACATATAGGTAACAATCGGGCCATGAATGACCAATGCGTACAACAAAAACGACAACCACAGTAGTAATTAAAGGCAATAACCGAAGCGTGGCGCATCGTAGTTTTTGTTATGGATTTCCGTCCGTAGTAATGGTTTGGTTGTTGTTGTTGTCTTTCGGTCAGTTTTTGCGTCGTCGGCAAAAATGTTCGTGTGCTGACGTCACATGTAGGCGCCACAAAGCTCCCCCCACCACCCACTGTTTGTTTGTTTGTGTATTGCAACATGCGTGGGCGTTATACTCCAACTGTATCTGCGTGAGTCGGGGTTTGTCTGTATGTGAGGTCAGTGTTGCGTGAACTTTTTAGTAAGTTAAATACTAACTTTTGGCGCCCACTGTTCAAAATATATTGCCTTTCCTGCGCTTTTCACAGAACATCTCCGTCATTTTCACTTGCGTTAATTATGCCTTTGCATGATAACTGTGCTCTGGACTGATTGGAATTTGCAATTTTAATTAGGCCGATTGGCAATAAATTATTACTATTTCTGGGGTTGGGTGACTTGGGACTTTTATAGCCTCTATTATTTTTTACCTAAATTACCTGAAAAGACAACCAAAAATTTGTTGTAAAACAATTGTTTTCTGTCTGTTATTTATTCTTGACTAATTGAATCACTGTCAAAACACATTTTTTTTATTCTTAGATCATAATATTGAGAAAAATGTATTTAATTTTAAAACTGAAAAAAGACAGCTATATAATATATGACTTATAAATAACATATAATTTGGTTTGTGTTAAAAAAATAAAACCAGTATGTCGCCAATTTAATCCCATATGGATTAAGGTCTGTTTGTGAATGCGGTGCAGATACATTTTATCTGGAACCGTTGAGAAATGTATGTACGTTTATGTGTTTGGCATTCTTTAAATTATTACTGCTCTCATTTTGTTGCCCCATTTGTTTGTTTATGTTGCTTTGCGGTTATTTTAAGCACATATCCCTCGCTTTGATCTACTTGCTATACGATTTGCAAGGCGAATTCTCTGGGAGAACTGGTGACGTCAGGGAATCTTCTGCTAGTTTTCTCTATTCACAGTTCCAACTTCACTTTGATGCTAATTGCTTTGCAAATATGCAAAAAATGCAAAAGAGAAAAATCGCAGAAAATCACGAACTGTGCAACTGCAACTGCAAACGCTGGATGCGAAAGAAACAATAAACATTTTGATGTCTACATTTTTGCAAACAACTGATTCGACAGCGGCAACAAATTGCCTGGAAACAGAGACGAAAAGTAAACATGCAAAAGGAAAACTATTTGCCATACAAGAGGCAACGAAAAAAAAAGAGAGAAAAGGGGGAAAGGGGGCTGGGGACTAACAATGGGGGAATTAATTAACATGGCCAGCGGCGGCAATTAGACCAAATAAACGAAACAGAAAGGAAATCGATGCGAGGCATCAAGCTCCAATGTTACTGGATGTGTGTTTCTGAAACTACGATCGCATTCGGCTTGAGTCTCCGATGTCACAGATTGCACTGCAGAAATTTGTTGTACATACTTAGAAAACTAAAAAGTGTGCCATTGATATTTGTTTCATTTTCAGCCCATATCCGGCCAATTAAAAAAATGATTTAAAGTTTAAAATATTGATATATTTTTTTATTATAAGTTTATCTATCAAATTTTAAAATTTGTTGCAGTATTATTGGTTTAAATACTCTAAAATATTATACGTTGGTATTTGTTTGATTTGTTTGTAATTTTTTCTATAATCCGTTAAAATTAAATATTTGTAATTAAGTTTTTCCGTGTAAAAATTGTCGACCGCAGTGTGACTTACTTTTGGCCAGGCCAAAAGCGAGACCACAGCAACGACTTGAAACGCCAAAATTGGCCTAATGAGTTGGGCAACACATGTTTTGATTTTATTTACACTTCGAGGAGCTTTGAAATGGCAAAACCGAATCGGTGGCCAAAAGTGCAGCAGGTGGGCGATCGCATGCGAGCATCTGGTCTTTATCGCATGCGATATGGCCGATAAAGAGAAGAAGCCGGCTCACAAACACGAAGAAAATCAAAGCTTGGCAAACGCTCTCTTTCGAGCTCAGAGGTTTCCGTTTTTTTTTTTGTATTTATCGTGACTCAGTCTCAGCGGCCACTTCGTGCAGCGGTTTTCAGTTGAAAACTTGCAGGCAAAGCGCGCGGTCGCGTTTACATTCGAAAATAATAAAATCGCTCGCCACGCATGCGCAGCTCATCATCGCGTGTGTGCGAATTGGCCAACGATTCGATCGATTGCAATTGGCTTTTTGCAATATTTAATAACAATAAATTATGACGGTATGCAAAGTGGCCTTTTGATAATCCGCTCAGTGCAACACAAAAGGCAGACTTTCGTGATGTAAGCGCGCGAATTCGAATTGTTGATATCGTTATTATAATAATAAAATTATACAAGCGCGAATAATTTTATTTCGGCACTCGTAGGGCGCCCCAAGGAAGTGATTTATGCAGATTATAAACAAAGTGCGAAGAAAGTGAAACAAAAAGCGTAGAGTGGTTGAGCTTCCTTTTGATTTGAGCGTTGAATAGCTCTTGAACATATGTATATATAAAGTCTTAGATTTGGCTCTGGTGGCGCAATGACCTTTGTATGCTTGGATTTTGATTTGTTTGCCATGTTGGGGATGTTCGCTTAATTATGGGTTTGGGTCAGATGTATCGGACATTAGTAGCAATCAGTGTTTGAGTGTGTCTGTGGTTGATTCAATTTTGCTCAAGGCATGCACAGAAAAAATCAAATATTGTTTTAAGTTGTACTAGGTAAAGCGATTCTTTTAATGATTTAATTATTTGGCTTGTAAACACCTTAATATATAAACGATTATTACAAAAAATACAATCTATTAATTGAAATATATTGAATTTTGACGGAACCCATCGAAAACTTAAATTATTTTAATCGTTATTATTTGCAAGGTTTTTTTTTAAAGGTTAAAGATGAATTTTTAAAATGAACCGTAAAAATTAATTCAGGAATTCCATTTCATATAAAATTTGTCGTGGTGCGATTTTTTTATGTGTGCTACTGATGAAGACGATCACGACGCTGCATATTTGATTGTTTGAAAGTCTCAAATGAAAGTGCCTTGGCAGCATGTTGACTCCTCATCCCTCTCCGTCCGACAGCCAGGTTTTCCCGGGCCAACTTCAATCACAGAGTGCTAATTGTTTTCTCAGGTCTCCGTGGATTGAATTCCCCCAGCCCCAGTTTCCCATTACTGCAATTTCTTCGCTTATTCTTCCATTCTGCTCGCTCTCTAACTGCACATTTTAATCCGATCCCAGATGCAACTATGGACCGCAGCTGATCCCAAAATTGCATGAATCACTCGGCTTAAACCCTCTGCACAATCGATTTGCACGCTAATTTTGGCGACGTGCAGACATTCGACTTTGACAAAATAAAAACCGGAAAAAAAGACAGCAATACAAAAACATTGTAGGCTGGCGTGTCGAGGCATTTTCAATTTTCCAGCGCATTAGTCATCGCCGCTCTAATCGGCCAAAAAACCTGGGCCTTAAACTGTAACTAGTTTTCGCCAACGCTCTCTGAATGGGAAACTAATCCGCCAAACGTCATCCTGAGCGAGTCCGAGAGCCTTGGCTAAAATTTGTATCTCGAAGCTGGCTGGAGTGAAAGTGGACAAAAAAAAAATAGAGAAAAAACTTCAACTGCAGACGCGTGAAACAATTTTTTATGTATTTCTTGGCTCTGTACACGGCTTTTATGTGTTTTCCATCCACTTATTCAATTTGCCATTCACTGCACACAAGTGAAGACGAGCTTAACCCTCCGAGTGGCCAACTCTTGCCCCCGCACCACTCTTAACACTCCAAAGCCAATGGCGCATTTCATTTTTCATTTCTCGGCTTGGACTCTCTTCATTTTCTTTTAATGCGTGCCAGGCACGTTAAAATAATTGTTAAACTTAAATTATTAATTAAGCCCCGGAATGGTCAAAAACAATGGCGAATGCTAAATGCTCTTTGCCTCAAGTTAAATTGCTGTCCATTCAGTTTTTTTTGTCCATGCTATAGTTACCGTTTGGGGGCAGGGTATTGAGAAACTTTCACTGACTGCTTGCCAAAATGATATATGCAACAGGTACTGCCGCCGGCAGTCAAAGCCGACCCGAGCCGCAGCTGAAACCCGTCCATTCCGAGGATATCCGGACCAGCAAACTTACGCATTTCGATTCGGCCAGGCCCAAAACCCGGCCCATTGTCTTTAGCTCTTCTGTTTTGGCTGGCTTTTCTCTCCGCTTATTGCCCACTTTGTTTCACCCAACGGCTTAGATTTTTGGCTTTTATTTTGATTTGACTTTGTGGCTGTTGCTTTTCATTTTGCATTTCGTCAGCGGCGACAGAAACTTGTTGTGTCATACATAATTCTGTTATTGTTTTATTTAATTAGTTTTTTTTTTTGTCTTTTTGGGTGCGCTTTTTCAGCCGACCGAACGCTTTTCCCAACTCGCAACGACACTCATCGTGCGGAGAATTTAATTTGGCCCCGGTTCCTTTGTGGGTCATGATAAGCAATCACTTTCCACGTGCCCAATTCTGGCTCATTTACATATTTAATTGTGGGTTGACATTTGCCCAGGAAAGTTCTCAACCCGCCAAAGAAAGTGAAGATGCAGTGAGAGTTGTGGGGGATCGGCTACGATGTTATCTCTTTGCATTTTTTACCAATAGATTTTGCTTTAATTAAATTTTATTTTTAAATGAAATTCTTCTTGAAAATTAAATATTCAGTTGAATTCATGCGCTGCTTGCTTAGCAAACTAAAATTAAAACACTTCTTATAAACGATCTCGTTTTCTTCCCAAGTGGGTTTTCTTTAAATTTTTCGAGTAATTAACAACCCTATCTTACTTACCACCATGTATATCCCATTATCGGGGCACATATATCTCTATCTTCCCTACGCAAACTTTCCCAACATTTGCCACCTGACTAGGGATAGACAATAGCTCACTCTGCCACCTCCTCTGCCGACGTTGACTGCGAGGTTCCCACGCCCAAATTATTTGCACAATATGAAGCCAGAGCTCCAGTAAATTCCAATTCAATTCAGGCGACTGGTTCGTGTTTTCCCAACCCAGTGAAAAAAAAGGCAACATGGAATAGCAACTGATTTTGGCCCAGCCAGCGTTTTCAGCTGTTTGTGGAGCACTCAAAGCCATTGTCGACTATTCCAGTAAGCCGCTGACAAACCGTTAATGTGGCAAATTGACTTGCTGAGGAATGTCAAAAAAAAGATGCCAAAGAGTTGTTATTATTTAGTGGAGTACCATAGAGGAGCCTCCCCTCCTCGCAATAAAGTCAATTTCTGCAGCTGTCTCTGGGTTTTTCTTTGTTTTTCTATCTCTCCAGGCATGGCTTTTATTTCATTTGTCTTTTTTTTTTAGCTTGAATTTTCTCTTTAGAAAATTTCCCATTTGCGCTTTTTTGCTCGCCATTATTTGCCCCGGTCGCTTCACCATTGATTCCGCCCAGTTCTCCATTGTGACTACCTCGATGCTGGCCGATACCAAATCGAAGCGCTTAGAGAACCTTAATTAGTATTATTACCAACGAAAACAATTTGCCGGTCTTTGTCCACTTCGGGCTGGGCATTAGCCTCGATTTCAGTTCCATGACAGGGCGGGGCGGTTGATTTTTGCTGTTTGCATTAGCTGCTACTGTGCTCTAACAATGGCATCCATTAGAACTATCTCCTTTTTCCACTTAAAAAAGCCATATTGAAATTGGCAATAGATTGATGGAAATTGCAAACTAGGTATTTGGCACAAAAACTCGAAAGCTGAGAATATTTTTACAACAAATTATACTCTCGGTTTTTTTTTTTTTTGAAGAAATTATTTTTATATTATATTAAGTTGTTTAATAGACAGTAAAGCCACATTTACAAAGTCCTATTGCGCCACCAAGAGTAGATGTTAGTTTTGTGAAATAAAAAACCAGTCGAAACCCAAACTGTTATTGAAAGTGAACGCAATGCGGGAACATGGTGACAACAATTAAGATAACCTGTGATGGCGTCTTCATCCAGTCCAACTCGTACCTCATGCCCTCGTCTCCACCCAGCGGAGCAGGTGCAGCAGGATCGGCTTCCTCGAATCGGGCACTGAAATCTGCGTCCGTATCGCCTTCCAATTCGAACAACGAGAGCGATAATTCGCAGACGAGTAGCGGCAGTCAGACGGCTTCCAGTGCCAGCAAGCGGTCCAATCGATCGGTGGGCCGGAGTCATCGAGGATCGGGGGCGCAGGACACGAGGCGACGCTACTACTTTGGCAGCAAGGACATCTATTGGTGCAAGCAGAGCAGGGAGGCATCGGCGGCAGGAACCATCTCGGGCTCGGGATTAACGCGAAGCGCTAGCAGTGCAACCCACAAGGAGGCGGCCACCCATGCCACCCACAGTGGTGGGCAGGTGATCTCCCGGGCTCGTCGCAAGCCCATCCTCCTGTGCAGCAGCTTGAGCGCCGCTTATGCGCCTCCCCGCCGGCGGGAGTTCTACTTCTGCGACAAGTATGCACCAAGTACTGGACGGAGTACACCCAATCCGATCACTTCCTCAGCAACAACTGCCAAAAACGAATCTTCCCCGCCTATCGACGCCCGCCTGCTGAACTTTCTGCGCTGCGCCCATCGCAAATTCCAGGCGAACAAAACTAAATCCGAGCTCCAACAGACCAAAGACAGATCCTTGGGAAATTCCCGGGAGAGGACAAAGAAAAACGGACAGCAGTCGTCCCGCTCGCTGCCGCCCATTGCCAGCTCGGAGGAGTGGTTCGGTTAGTACAAGATCTTTAACCAGAAATGGAATTCTTAAAAATAAATGGAGTTCACCTCGACCTTGACTGTATAATTAAAAAAAAACGAAAAATATAATATGTATGTAAAAGTATATACAAAATTCTTCTTAAAGCTAGCAACATTTTGGAAAACTTAAAATGCAATATCAATTGTGTACCTTATATACTATTATATTTGGTATACATTCTTTCTTTTAGTTTAAAGAACATGGATAAATGGTTCCTTTTAATTATATAAATGAGTTCTTTTGCAAACCCTACAAATTCATATCTACAGAAGTCAACGACTCAGCCCTGCTCCCAATTGTTGTGGCTGATGTTGAAAGCGGTTCGCAGATTGAGTTTCAAGCCACGCCAAGCGTCCGAGTTCTTTTTCCACTCGCTGACATTGGGCCAAAAGTATTGGATTATGGTCTAACCGTTGGGCAATCACTGGCAAAAGAGCGAAGCTCCGTCAGCGGTGTCCAGTTGCGACTTCTCTAAGAGCTGCCCAGATTTGGAGACCGACCGACGCTAACTCTCCGCTCAGGGTCGACCACATGAGGTAGCTAACCGTGTAATTAGCAGATATCTACATGTACCTGTGTTTTTGCACAGGTGTAGTCTTCCCCGAGTCTACCACTTGGCTTCCTTCTTCCTGCTTGCGGTTTTCCTGCTGCTCATCGCCTCGCATGCGATATGCAAATTTCTGAGCACCGGCGAAAACCATCACACGCCATTCATGAGCGCCTCGCGTTCCATTCATGGCATATTTTCCCCCATTTTCCCTCCCTTTTGGGCCAAAACCCAGCGACTGACTGACTGACTAAGGTTACCTTTCTTTCGACCTGCACTTTCCAACTGCTGGCAACACAATGGCCCAGGAACCACCGGCAACTGTTGACTGACTCTGTGCAGGAATGATTGTCTGCTGTGTGTATTTACCTGTCGTTACAGCCCCTCGCCTTCTGAACTATAAAAAGAGTGTGAGAATGTCGGAAACTTGGTTCCCTCCGTCCCAATGGTTGCTCTATATGTGTATTTGTTTATGTTAATATCGCGCCATGGGGTAGCGCAATTATTCACAGAAATTGGCAAGGCACAGGTGAAAAAATATATATACATGTAATATATATAGATCATTGTTTTTCGTGTATTTCAAGTCAGAAATGTTAGCTAATTAAAATTGAAAATTTATCGCAAAAACAGATATTTAGTCGTTAATCAATATAACTTGTAGTAATTTTGAACTTATAATCTAAGCTTGGTATTTTAAAGTTATTCAATCTTGCTTATATAATTTATTTCTTTTATTTAAATGAGAGTGTAATAGTATTCCGGTTTCAAAAAATGAATGTTCCTTTGTTATGTTTACGGAGTGTGTGTTCCGCACTAACTCAAACAATAAGGAAGCTATACAAAAGATTCTCACGTATGTGCTTGTTAGCTCCATAGGTGTTGAACTGTTTTCTTTTCCACAATCTCCTGCTCACTTATATACAATTTCATCCTAAGTCTGGGGCCCAAGGGTGAAATCATCGGGCTGTCAGCCATAGCTTAAACTGGAGGCAGACAGAGCTGTCATTAGATAACTCGGATGTTCAAGGGGATTAAATGAAATGGTTTGCCATCAACGATAATTCCTCAACGGGGAAATTAGTAAAAAGAGAACAAATCCATTAGAGTACAATATAATGCAGTGCAAAAAGCTGATTATTTTATTTTTCGGTTCACACTGAATGAAGCTGGAAACTGCTGTAAAATTATATTGTCATAAGGAGCTATTTCATTTAAAATTAAATCTTTACGTAGTCGTTTAAAACGGATGCATTTATATTGATGTATCAATCATTTAGTTTTTTACGTTTTTGAAATTTGAAAAGAAAATACATTTTACTAATTTAGCAATCACAAAAAATAATATTTATATTCGGAAAAACGAAAAAGATAGTATTCATTTATTCAAGTTATGGATTATCGACTCTATATGAATCCTATTTTTCTGACACATTTTCCGCAGTGCATTTTTGAGGCTTTGGCTAATTAGTATTACCTCATCGAGACAGTCGGATTACTGCGCATTTCATTTGACTTTGCTCAACACCCACAACCAGTCCACAGTGCATTGCAAAAGTATACGTACCCGTACGATATGTGCGTTGAACTGCCAATGGCCAATGAATCATTCAATTTTATTGTTTGCACTTTTTGCAAACCTTTGGAATCGCTTTTTGCACTCATGTCCGGCAGATCGCTGTCGTTAATTTTAATTTTGTGCATTTTTTATGTTTTTTATGAATATATTTTGAATATTTTAAACAATACACAAATCTTTATTTTGATGTTCATCTGCCAGGCATTGTTTATTCATTTAAGAGCGGTTGATTTATATTTGGGGAGCGTGTTTCAACTGTCTGCCTCTTCCACTCCCTTATTTTATTTACATTTTTGTTTACGAATTCCAAAGGTAGTTTATGTTCGACTCGCTTCTACAATTCTTTGCCAACTACAACTAAAACACTTATTAATTATTTGTGGTGATTTTGTTTTTGGTTTTGAAAGAACAACTATGTTTTTCCTTTTATTATTTACACTTGCTATTAGGCTTACCAAAGCCACAGGTGTGTGTGGCAACACCTGTCGATACCTACCTATCACGCACATGCAAAGTTGTAGATGTAAACAGAGTCGGTTGCGGGGGTATATACAAAGTAATTGGCCTGTCACCGGCGTTGACTAATCAAAGGCTCCGAGTCACTCCCGGTGATGACAGCTATAAAGCCCGAGTGGGCATTGGCTTTACATAAGATTATACCCGGCACTTAACAGTCAATACTTTTGTGTTTACACTTTGGCAGCCGAGGGTATTACAAATTTGGGATCTTCGTTTCTATAACGGCGTATTTATTCTAGCTCAAGGTTTTCTAAGAGATTTAATCGGCAGTAAACTTTCCAGAAACACTGACATAACATTGAATAGAGAACAAAAAAAACAGTTTCCAAATTTAGCTTTTTTTAGATTTAAAAAAAATCTGAAAGTGTATTTTAGCTTAAGATTATTCAAAACTCATTGCTCCCTTTGTAAATTATTTATTTTTTCCTCTGACTCACAACCTGGGGAGATGTGTGGAATAAGAAAGGCTCATTTCCAGAAATATATGACTCTTTTTGAGTCAAGGTCGAAAAGCGGAAGTCTGTGCACTTTAATCAGGCTCGAAATAAACATAAATAATTGTTCTGGTGTGAGTAACATTACCGATTAACAACTATTTTTAAATGATTATCGTAAAGTCTTGCACTTAAATTTTCATGATTTTATTTAAAAAATCATTAAAATACAATTCGTTCAGCTGAATTTTTACTTTTAGTGTCCATAAATTGTTTATGAGCTACAAACAAAAATATTTAAATTATGTTTCTTTTTCAAGTACGTTTAAGAAAATTTCAATATTTTATTGCTGGTTCTCAAGCGTATACTATTGTTGTTAAAATAATTCTTTATTAGTCGGGTAAAGCCTGCTGTAGTGCAGTGGAAAAGTTTTATTTTTTAGCTTAATTAAGTAAAACTAAATCTAGTTTAAGACCATTTATTGCTGTTCAACTCATATGAATTCAGTTATTAAACGAACCAGCGTTCACTATTTATTCTTTATTGAAAAACGAGCATCTGTTTTTTTGTTTTTGTTTAGTGCAAGCTTTTAAAAACGTTCGATTTATCTTTCACGAAGCAGCGCTAAATTTCACATTGTGGTTGAACAATTGAAACAATAAGCGGCGAGTACACAAATATAAAGACTATTGTCTGCGGGTGTGACTTCAAAGCTCCGACTCCGTCGAACAGGAAGCCGCTGACAATATAGCGATGACTGTTACTGTATGACCGACTGCAATTGCCGAACGGATTCTCGTATTCGAACAGTCATGCTAAACCAATTTAGCGCGATAGCCGAAACTCCAGGTTGCTGCGAATGGCGGATGTGGCTCAAATAATTTACGGGCAAGGTCTCGGGTCTTTTGCCTTCGAGAGCGGTAAACTGACCTGCGCGTGCCCTCCTCCTCCGCTGTCAACCTGTCGCAATTTAAACAATGCCCACGCCTCGACTTCACTCACTCCCACGATAAATCCACGTCCCAGAATGAGAATTTAATATGCAAAACGCGTTTCCGCCAAGCGAGCGAGATTCGCTAATGAAATTTGCATAAAATTAAGAAATTAAGTCCCTGGAAAGAGGCATCACTGCCTAAATCAAGCGCAATTACAAGTAATGTAAAACCCGAGGGCGAAGAGTGGAAACAACGTTAGCAGAGCATATACCTTTTTGGAGATTGGCCAAAACACTTAAAAAACTATTTAACAAGCTGTAGAAATAATAAAATGATTCATACCAATATACTTATTATTTGTAAAAGCAGTTTTGCTTTTCTTTTGATGCACAAAATGTTTTGAATTAAATTAAAATATTTACAATTAAACTTATTTTGTCTTGCTCGTGTTAAGCTTACCATGAGGACTTAGTAATAATATAAAGAGTACAAAATATTTTAAAAGTAAGAATTTAACTTTAAAATAAACGACAAAATAAGGGGACATAAATGAAAATTTTAAAATCAATAATTAAAACTTAAAGATTTTTTTCCAAAAGTAATTTCCACTTTTTTGTGTGTAAAGATTTGTGGGAAGTTATACAGCGATATAAAACTGACTCATCCCGAATCCAAATTCGTGTCCAGGGAAACAGTAGCCCAAACCCCAAAAGTGCGCAGTAAACTGGCTTTAATTATGCCCGTCACATGCAAATGTTTTACATTTGGCGAGTGGACTCGCTCGGTTCACCCGATTAACATGCCATTTGTGTCCATTTGAGTCACTGAGTTGATTGTTGAGTGTGTTGACCAACAATTATCATTGCGCTTCCAAAGTCGCTTATGCAATCGCAGCTATTTGCCGTCTGACTTGACTGATTGATTAAATAAAACGTGCGTTTGGCCTCCAACCGATCACGAGAGCTGCTTTGGCTATCCGGAAAATACAGCTCGATCTGGGAATGCATTTGGCTATATCTGGGAATCAGATATTAAAACTGAAAAATGTGTGTACTGGAATCTTGCCAAGTTAAGTGAAAAATGTTTGCTGATATATACATCACAATAAAATATTTTATCTTGGAATTTCCACAGAGAATATTTTATACATACCCCTATAATCTGGATAAGATACGTTTTAAGAAATATTATTGCTGTTGACATTATCAAGATTAAAATGATCAACAAATATATTTTAGTGTGTTAAAATTAATTATATATTTAACGATCTGATTTCAAAAGGGAAACAATTATCCCATCATAAAAAAGCTGATATTGCCTAAAATCGTATTTGATTTATATCTTTGAGTCTTGTCATGTTATGTCATTGTCAGAAAAAATTTGGACTGTGCCTTTAAATATTGGAAATGGTGCGAAATGAGTTTGAAAAACTCTAGCCAATTTATTCGATAATTACAAATGTGGCCATAAAATAAGTTACATATTTGTCCAGCTAATTGCAATCGGAATAAATAATATAATTAATGTAGATAACATTGTCAATATGTGTTGTGCGGTGGTGTGATAAGATTAGATGCTTTCGGCCCCATTATATCAGCAAATAACATCATCAATTGATAATGCTAGAAGGCAACAAACTAATGTTCGTTCATTTTGGCTTTTGCAGACGAAGAAGCCCTAGCTAGGGAGACCAGCAAGGAGAAGAGCCAGAAGACCCAGCAGAAACAGAAGGAGAAGGAGGAGAAGGAACCGCTTTCAAGGAAGGCGTCCGGCGAGGGCGATCTGATCACCGTTGAGATCAAGCAGGGACTGCTGAGGAAGCAAAAGCAGCCGTCGCCAACCAACGAAGGCTCAACATCGACGACAGGCACGGCTATGAACAGCCACGCGACCGCCACGCAGAACGGACAAACCACGGTCGTCGGACACCATCGCGGATTCTCGCAGCCCTCGGTGACAGTGGCCGCTGCAGCGGCGACGGGCAGTACGGCCGGCGATCCATGGTTCCTGCAGACCACCGGCCACCAGATGCCACCCACCGCACCGCTGCGGCACAACAAGCGTCCTGCCCCCAGCCGAATGCGGTCCTGGGAGCAGGATCCGCTGGCACCGCAGCTGGATCGGCGGTGGGGGCGGTGCTGCTCCACCAGCAGCAGCTTAGCCAGTCGCAGCCACACATTGTGCCGCCCAGTATACCGCCGCATCACCACCATCATCGCGAGAACAATGTGGTGGGTTGTAACCTTTGGCTGCATCTGTGTATCCATGTTTATTAAATTGCTCTACTGACATTGCTCTCCTTTCAGCATCCCAGCCAGGCGGGCGCGGCAGCTGCATTGCATTTGTCATCGCATGCGCTTAATAGTCATAATTTAATCAGCAGCGCCAGCAATCATTCGCCCAAGTCCCCCAGCCAGACGCAGCAGCAGCAGCAACAACAGACGACGAGCCAACAGCAGCAGCAACAGGCGTCCCACAGCATTTTGTCCACGTTTGCGCCAGCCCCCACTGTGGCCTCTGTTCAGCCGGCGGGATCACAGGTAGCGATAGCCGGTACCGCCGCCGCAGTGGCCGCCGTGGCCCAACAGCAACAGCAGCAGCACCTCCAGCTGCTGGCCAACTGTGCGTCCGGTGGAGCGGGTCTGATGTCCTCCTCGCTGAATGCCGCTCAAATGGCGTTGCATGGCGCCGAGCGCGCGCTGCCGCCAAAGAGTCTGGCGCTGACTGGAAGCCAGCATGGTAGCAACATGCTGCTGCACACAGCCACCCAACCGACGCAGGTATCCCAGCCGGCGCCAGTGGTCGGCGTAAGTGGCAGCGGATCGGCGGGCATGTCCACCTCGCTGCACAGCTTCGATATCAATGGTGGCGCTGGGGCCAGCGGAGTAAATGCGAGCAGTGCGTGGTCCAGCGGCTCCACCACGGCCATGAACCACGCCTCCCTCTCACCCACAGCGATGGCACCGCAGCAAGGTCGTTCTCGGTGCGAGGTCAAGCTGAACGCCATGCCGTAAGTTGATAACCAATGTAGAATAGAACTAACTAACTAAAAACAAGTATTTATGATTACCTTTTCCTCATCCTCCTCAGATGGTTCCATGGCAGCATTACGCGGGACGAGGCGGAGCACCTACTGCAGCCCCGTGAGGATGGATTGTTCCTGGTGCGCGAATCCACAAACTTCCCCGGCGACTACACGCTCTGTGTTTGCTTCCAGTCCAAGGTGGAGCACTATCGGGTGAAGTACCTGGAAAACAAGCTGACCATTGACGACGAAGAGTATTTTGAGAATTTAGGACAGTTGGTGGCGGTAAGTCACACGAAATATGCCCAAGATATCTTAATAAACCACTTTTTTCCTTTTAGCATTATGAAGCGGATGCGGATGGCTTATGCACCCAGCTAATCAAGTGCTTGCCCAAGCTGGGTAAACAAGAGTTCTGCATCAACTCCAAAGATTTCGTTGACAAGGGCTGGGTGATCCCTGAGGCGGAACTGCAGCTTCGCGAGAGCATCGGAAAGGGCGAGTTCGGAGACGTGATGCTGGGCATATTACGCAACGAGAAGGTGGCCGTTAAGATGCTGAAGGATGAGGGGGCCGTGCAAAAGTTTCTGGCCGAGGCCTCGGTCATGACGTGAGTTATTCATAGAGCTTTGTTTGTATTTTTTTTCTACATCTAATCTCACCTTCAGCACGCTGGAGCACGACAATTTGGTAAAGTTCATCGGCCTGGTCTTCACTAGCAAGCATCTCTATCTGGTTACAGAGTACATGAGCAAGGGATCACTGGTTGATTACCTGCGATCGCGCGGACGACAGCACATTACCAAAAAGGATCAAATCATTTTTGCCTAGTAAGCAGCATATAAGCTCCTGCCAAATCGATTTTAACCAACATTCCTCATTTACTAGCGACACTGCCTCTGGTATGGAGTATCTGGAAGCCAAAAAGGTTGTGCATCGCGATCTGGCAGCCCGCAATGTTCTTATCTCGGAGGAATGTGTGGCCAAGGTATCGGATTTCGGTTTGGCACGCGAGGAATGCTACAATCTTGACGTTGGCAAGCTGCCCATCAAATGGACGGCTCCCGAGGCGCTCAAAAATGGGGTGAGTTTGAATGACTGAACACGAAAAAGGTGGCGCGTCTTGACTAATGTCCTTTGTCGTCACCCATTTAGCGCTTTTCCAACAAATCCGACATGTGGAGCTTTGGCATACTGCTGTGGGAAATCTACTCCTTTGGACGCGTGCCTTATCCCAGAATTGTAAGTACAGATCTGAATTATAACGTAAGACGTGACTTACCAAGCTACCATTTCATGTCCATTGCAGCCATTAGCCGATGTGGTGAAGCACGTTGAGGTGGGCTATAAAATGGAAGCGCCGGAGGGCTGTCCGCCGGAGATCTACGAGATGATGCGCCAGGCCTGGGACCTGAATCCCGCCAAGCGACCAACATTCGCGGAGCTCAAGGTTAAGCTGCAGTTGCTGAACAATGCTACGGCGTGAGGAGGCACCGAGGTATTGACGCCAGGGCGATAAAGGAGAAATAAAACGGATTGTTCAGACCAACTGTCATCGAAGCTAAGGGTAGAGCCAATCCCTGCCAGAAATGCTCCAGATCCAAAGCTGAAACTGACATGACACCGACACTGAACGCAACAATTTTTCGTACGATTATATACATACATGAATATATAACTACTTTACAACAATTTATTTACATATATAATTTATGGAATAAGTTTTGTAAGCTTAAGCAAAGGAACCCAACACAATCAAGCAATGTTAGTGAGTTGCGCTAGCTTCCGACATATAATTAATTGATAAACAACCGAACGGACTATGTATGAGGGAGCGGAGGAAGAGCAGCTGCATAGCCTACCTACTACTACCTTTAACTACCACAATATTATGTTATGTGTACACTGTAACTGTAGCTATTTATTACTTAACTCCTTGGTTCGGACTCCACTGTAACATTTCTCTTCTGGATTCGTAACCACGTCTGTATCTTTATGTTATAGAATACGCATACATATGAGCGCCTCCTTCTCTGGTGGCGTCTGTCTAAAGCAATTGTTTATATAATGTTTCCCTTTGAAATCGTAGAAACGCAAAGTTTTATTCGAGTTTCGTACTCTTTCTGTTAACCGTTTCTGTTTGTAGCACAAAACTGAGGAAAGACCACAAAGAACTTGTCCAACAAGTCGTTGGAAACGAGATCATGCTGAGAATTAGTTAAATTTAGTTACATTTATTTGTATTGAAAATCAAAAAAAAAAAAACAAACAAAAATTATGCAAAAAAGCAAGCGAAACCTAAGCAAAAATAAACGAAGGTGGCGGCGGCCGCGTGTCCTTAAACTCAAAAAAAAGAAAAGTAAAGAGAAAAACACTTGTGAAAATATGCATTACATTAAAACTTCTACATATAATACAATACACATTAACTACGTATTTAGCATATGAATCGATTAATAATATTATACAAATATAAATTATTACGCGCAAAGTTCGTGAATTTGTTCATTATTCGGTCCATTCTTCTAACAAGGAATCTCCTTCTCTGTACTCTAATGCAGCTAGCGGAAAGGCAAAGGAAAAATGTAATTTATTTTTTAAACGTACCCCGTAATTTACTTAATACCTAATGCTTATTTTAGTGTTCCCCTAAGAAACTTGTACATTTATGCGTTTTAATTTCCGATCAAGCGGCAGCCACTTTGCTTTAACACTTAATTTTAGTATACTTTATGTAACACACACCTAATACACCAATACACCCCCTCACATATAAACACGTCCACATGACTTACATTTAATTAATTTTAAAGTTATTATTTTTTTAAAACACATCAATCAATATTGTAAAAGAAAGTTCTATGCATTAGCAAAACAAACCCGGGAGACAACCACACAAACTTGCACCAATACACAAATCTTAAACGAGGTGATTAAACAAAGGCGGAGAGTTCTAAAACTTTTAATAAAAGTAAAGAATACAAGCATGAATGGATTTTGCGTTTCTTTCTAAATTATCAGACTAAAAAAAATTTCAAATTTAATTTGAACACTTCAGAGTTCATACTTCAATGTTTATTTGTAGCTGGTTTTATATTGGTTTCAAAAACATATATTTCGTTTTTTAAATTTCTTAAAATATTATTAAAGGATACTTTTCTACTTATACAAGCTTTAGAGAGAATCCAATCAAATGTCTGTTAATTACATTTTACAGAAAGATGCAGAGTCTATAGATTTATATATTACAATGTGGATTGCCAGTTACATTATTCCACTGTCCGGTAAAAACAATAATTTAACTAGGAAAACAATATTGATCTACACATTTGAGACGCGGACTTATTTCTGGAGCCGTCGGGTGGCTTTGCGGATGGGTCGACTCTCCGGAGTGCTGGGCGGTGGGGCGAACACGTTTCCTGCATTCGCCTGTTGGGCCGGACTGCCGCCGCCGAAACTAAAAGCTCCTGCCGGATTGCTAGCTGCCGGCGCTGGGGCTTGGCTTGCGAAGACATTGGGCGCAGGATTACCGCCAGCGCCACCAAAACTGAACGGCTTTGCTGTATTCATGCCATGGTTGCTGGGCGGCGAAGCGATTCCGCCTGCAGCTGCTCCGCTAAATGAGAAGGGAGCGTTTCCGGCTGTGGCGCTGGCGGTGCTCTTAGCCCCGCCGAACGGAAAGACTCCTGGCTTCGATTGGTTTTGGGTAGCAGCCACCGCATTGGCGAACAAGTTACCGCCCATAGGTGCTGGGCTGGGTGCAGGAGCTGCTGTGCTTCCTCCAAACGCAAAGGGTTTGTTCTGATTGGGTCCATTAGCAGGTGGTGCTGCCGGTGATCCAAATCCTCCAAAGCTGGGCGCCGGAGCAGGAGCTGCTGACTGAGTGCTTGAATTGTTGTTTGAAAAACTGAAAGTTGGTTTAACTACTCCGGTGTTGGGGTTTCCGAACATATTAGTGGCCGCAGGCTCTTCCTTCTTCCTGGGCGTGCCAAAAGAGAATCCACCAGGCGATGCTGATCCCGCCTGGTTGCCGGTGTTACCGCCAAAGTTAAAGCTCGGCTTGGTGGTGCTGACGGGGCTGCCAAACATGTTTGTTCCACTCTGTTCTGCGGTATTCTTCGACGCCACCGCGGCAAACGAGAATCCTCCCGAAGCTGGCGAAGCCGATGGACCAGGCGCCTGTTGGGCTCCTCCAAATGTAAATGGTTTGGTGGCCGCCACTGCAGGGGCCGGGGCCTGTTGGGCTGATCCACTGCCAAACATGGGTGTTGCAGGCTTCTGTGCTGTGTTAAATCCAAAGGCGTTGCTTGTTGGTGTAGGTGCTGCAGATGACACTGATGTTGCTACGCTGCCAAAGGCAGGTGGAGCACCCTTGTCTGCGCCACCAAAGTTAAACATCGAACTGGGCTTGGTTGCCGAGTTATTGTCTCCTCCTCCTCCAAATGCAAATATTGATTTGTTATCCTTACTTTTACTGTTTCCTTCGGCTGCTGCTCCTCCTCCAAAGGCAAAGGGCGTGGTTGTAGCTGCATTCTGACCAAAGAGATTATTTGCGGTGCTTGTAGTAGTTGGTTCCGTTGTCTTTAAGGTGGGTGCTCCTCCAAAGGCAAAAAGATTCGTGGCCGCTGGGGCTCCACTTGCCACAGTTGTACTAGCTCCAAAACCGAATGGTTTGGAGGGTTCGGCGGCTGTAGTTGTTGGGGCATCTCCTGGTGGCCTAAAAGCGCTCCCAAGGCTGTTATCCTGATTTCCAAAGATACCCGGCTTAGATGGCTCGGGTTTGGTTGCCGCTGGTTGACTAAAAATGCCACCAAAAGAGTTTCCGCCAGTTTGCGATTGACTAGCAAACGGATGTGTTAATGCTGCTCCAGTTGGTTGAGTGGTGCTGCCGCCAAAACTAAATACCGCCGTTTTGGTAGAAGCTGCTCCATTTTCACTACTAATCGAAGTCTGTGAGCTTGTATCGCCCGATTGTCCAAAGGTAAATATTGGTTTGTTTACCAACGAGTTCATTGCACTACTTGTTGCCGACGATCCTGCTCCAAATGGCGATATTGTTGCTGTAGTTGGGTTTTTGGTCGTGGTCGATCCTGTTGATCCTGCTGAAATCGGCTTTCCAAAGCTGATCGGTGAGCTTGTCGATGTCGTAGACGCTGCAGTTGCTGTCGGCGTTGGTGCGGCCGTTCCAAAAGTAGTTGTAGTTGTGACCGGCATTCCTGAGTTAGTTGTAGTGGATTCTGTCGCTTCTGGACTGCCCGTTTTGAGTCTAGGTGAAACGCCTACTAATGGTTGATTTCCAGACGTTTTTCCAAACGAGAACATTGGCTTTGTCTCGGTGGCACTAGTGCTAATAGTAGTTGTTACAGTAGCGTTGGCATTTCCAAATGAAAGTGGTGGTGCAGTTGAGGATTTTGGTGTGCCAAAATTAATCAATAATTGAGAAGAGGTTGCAGGTGTTACAGGATTGGCTGGTAAATCGGTCTTGGCCGGGATCGCTGCTGGTGCTGCCGGGTCTTTGTCGGTGGTTTTTGGGGCAACTGCTTCAGTGGAAGCGGGGGTCGCAGCTTGACCAAACATAAGTTTTGGCAGAGGGCTGGTAATACTCGTGGTTGACGTTTCCGCTGGCTTTATCACCTGGTTACCTAGTATTACCGGCTTGCTGGGCGCTGAAGTTGTAGTTGTCGCGGTGGAGGTAGCTGACGTTGTTGTTGTAGTTACAGGCGGCACAATAGTGGGTTTAATTGGTGTTGGTAAAGCCGCAGGAGCTGGCGCTGGGGCGTCTAGTTCGTCCGGCTCACCCTGGTACAGCTCGCCCTTCAAACCACTAAGCATAATGGCGAGTTTGGTCTTGTGCGTGCGCTCCACACTGGGGTTTTTAACGCCCAGCATTGAGTTCTGCTGCTTAGGCTTCACAAACTGAATGCCGGCATATTCCCCGGCATCCACCTCCGGGCTGTTCAGATCCTGTCGCGGCTGTTCCATTTTCGTTCGAGACTGTCGCGCATTGAATAGGGTAAGCTTGGGTTTCTCCGAAGCAGGGGAAACTTCTGCAGATCTCTGATCTGTACGTTGCGCGGGTGGTGCTGAAATTGTCCGCGTTGGAGGAACTGCCGACACAGCCGGAACGGGCATGCTCAATGTTTTGCTGATCGATTCTGCATTCACCTTACGCTGAATTTTGGCCACATTTTCGCCGGGTGAGTTATCCGGCGAGCTCCCACTAGCCATGGACTCACTTTGGCTGCGCTGGAAGCTCTCCCGCATGTCGAACAACTTTCGCTTGTTGTTGTGCCGCCGACTGGAGCTCAGCGAGGAGGCAATGTCGTTGTTATAGCTGCAGTTGGGCCGCTTGGCCAGCTGCTCCGGCGACTGAGTGGGCGAGATGCTGCCATTTGAGTGCATATGTTGCATTGTAGGTGGAGCAGGCCCCAGTGAAGTCGAATGATGCCTGAGAGGAACCGATACGGTGAGCTCGCGTTGTCTCTTAAAGGACTGGTTTTGCTGTTGCTGCAGCTGGTGTAGCTGCTGTTGGTGGCGCTGATGATCGACAAAGTCCACACCCCGCTGACAACTCCTTTTGGTAAAGTCGTGAGGCGACGGCGCATCCTGAAAGCAAGCGAAGCCTAAGCTTGTGTCCACTCGAGAGGATAGTTGGGGGCATACACTTACACCACTGTTGATTCGCTTTCGCGAAATCTCCTTAAGCTCCTCCAGCACGCTCCTGGTTGGTTCGCTCTCGTGCTGCGGATGCGGAGGGTGCAGGATGGGTCGATTCTCTCGCGACAGCTGCTCCTGCTCACTGGCCTTGTGCACCACTCCTGCCAGAGAGTTGGAACGCAGTAGGCTGGGCAGTGTGTTGCCGGAATAGAAACTCCGCTCCGGTGGTGCAATCTGGGTCATGGAAAGCGCCGGCACCTTCGATTTGTAGGGCAGCGGGGAGGCGGGAGCCCTGCGCGGCTGCATCAGAGGATTGTACAGATTGCTGGCGGACATGCTGCGCTGCAGACTACTGCGTCCTCCCAGGCTGCTCTCATGGTAGCCCACTATCCGGGAGGCCAATCCACTGCTGTGCACATCGGCAAACGTTCTGAAAGATAGTGGTTTTTTAGATAGTTATCACTTTTAAAAATAAATTTATCGGTGTATTATGTAAATTCTCTATTTAGAATTGAAGTTATATTGGTGTTAATATGTATGAGCTCATTTCAAGTTCATTAATAGTACATTGAGACCAATAAGCTTTGCCTGGAATGCTGTACTTTTACCAAACGGAGTACTCGAAACCCAATGGCATTTAGTTCTCTTACCTGGGATCCAACTGACTGAGGTTCAGTTTTTGTCGCGATATGCTGCTTGGCGATGTGGCCGTGTGGTTCATCGAGGACCTTTCCGGGGTCCGTGAGCCATTGAGTGTGTTGTTGCTTGCCCCCTTGGGACTCAGTCCCCTCAAAAAACTGGCGGGCGAATGGCGATTGCCTCTGAACAAAGAAAAACAACTTTGATTAATAACCGAATCTAATTCAGAACGACAGGTGGGCACTCACATCAGCGACGCGTCGATCCGCGTGGAATCCGCCATGGGCGACATGCTGCTCAAGTTAAAGCGACGACGCTCCATGCTACCGAAGGTCAACAACCGGTTTTTCTAACAGTGCACTCGGGCGGAAAGAATTGCTTGTGGGGAGCAGAATTGTCGCTTTGTCCAAGGGTAGACTAAAAAGCCTTAAATTTTGTGCAAAACCAACTTTGTTAAGTTTAATTAAATCCGAAGCGAAATTAAATGTCAAACTCAGGTGAAATGCTAGCGGTGTGACCGTACCTAAAGCGCCAAAATATATCAATGTCTGGCACTCTAAAGCGAAAAATTAGAGAGCGTTAAAAAATCCTTTCGATTCCCGCTAAGATGATTTTTTTTAATTTGTTGAAATATGTTAAAACTTCAAATAAATTACAACTACGATAAAAGCCTTGCTATAATTCAAGAAAAAAATTTTACCTGGTTAGCGTTGCCACCTCGGAAATTTATTGGCAGCGCCCCGTTAGCGGGTGAGTGAAGCTAGTTATCGGGATTTAAAAATAGAACCGACTCCCATATTGCAAGACTTTTGGAAGCAATCTGTTTTTAAACTAATATATTTGTTCATTCTAGTGCGCCTTCGACCCCATTAGTTCTCGCCTTTAATATGTGAAACTTGGATCGCAGATGGGCCTTAAGATGAGTGTTTCGCTGGAAAGTTTGCTCGCAGATAGTGCAGCTAAAATTAACATTTATTAAATTTTGATCGTCAAAACATCTAAACCATACTCACGAAAATGCCCGCACACCTGTGTGAATCAGTTCGTGCCTTTTGCGTCCGGAAGCCGAACTGAAGCTTTTGTCGCACTGGTTACAGCCGTAAGGTTTCGCATTAGTGTGAACTCTGGAAAGTAATATTCTTCGTTAGAACTCCATTAAAGACAATAGACATAGACGATTTCAATTATCTTTACAGGACATTACCTTTCGTGGATGACGCGGGTGGTGCTGTTGTGGAAGGACTTGGAGCAGTATCGGCAGGCGTAGGGCTTCTCGCCCTGGTGCACGATTCGCTGGTGCAGGGACATGAGGTGGTCAGTGTAGAACAGCTTGCCGCACTCCTGGCAGGCGAAGTTCTTCATGCCCGTGTGCCGCAGCATGTGCAGCTTGAAGTTGCTCTGATCGGTGAAGTGCCGGCCGCATTGCTCGCAAACGCAGTCACGCTTCCGCTGCTGCCGCTTTCGCTCAACGATTTGGTCCTCGCTCATGTTCTTCCACGTGACGTACTGTTTCTTGCGCTTGGGTTTCGAAGTCCTCTCCGATGAGACACTATTTGCTCTGGAACGACTTCGTAAAGCCTTAAATGCAGGCTGTGGGGAAACGGGTGGGGATCCATCAACCTCATCCTCACATTCGTTGTAGTAGGTACCCTCTTCTTCCTCCAGGAATTCATTTTTTTCTGTAGTGCTTTCATCGTCGTAAATTGTTTCAAACTCCTTCTGGACACTTGATATTAGGGAGTCAGCATCTTGGGACACCTCCTCGCCTACTTCGACGTTATCCCCCTCCTCTTCCTCGTCTACGTCTTGAAATTCTTCAAAGAATTCTTCGGTTTCTTCAAATTTATCGTCCATATCATCGGTTGAGAAACGTAAGTTCAAGCTGTTGTCCTCAGCTTCCTCCTCCTCCTTAACTTCTACATCCACATCGTCTTTCTCACATTCTGTAGCGAATTCTTCCTGTTCGGGATCTATGAGTCGACGGAGCAAATCCTCCTGTGTTTGGATGAGTCTTTCCCGGAACACAACGGCCTGATTCAAATCAAGCATACAGCATGCACATATGCAGCTGGGCAGCTTCGGATCATTATGCAGCTGAAATTACAGGGTATATTAACCAAATTCTTACAAAATAAGGATTTGTTAGATCTTACCATGGCGCCTGATACAAGATTTACGTTTTGCAGCAACGTGACGTTCTCCGTGTCAAAGAGATTCTTGGCTTTTGTGTTATAGATGACGCCTCCGCAGGTTCTGCATTGAAGCGTCATTTTGTTTATTGAAAATGTTTGGTTTTAATTCGAATATAATCAATTGTTCGGCTAAGGCATTTGCCAAGAAACAGCTGTTTCGTTATCGGCGATAACATGTGTAGTAAGAGGGATTAAAAACACCAGTAGACTTAAAAAAAAAAGAGGTGAAACAAAATTAAGAAGTTAACAAGGTTTATTTTAAATTATAAATTTACTTGTATAGGAAAAAAGTATAATAAATATTGACCCCTTGTCAACAAAACACAACGCTTATGTTTTCATAAGTTGTGTGAGTGTGACCATACACGTATCGCACCTACACTCGCCTTTGCAAAAAAAAAGTAAACAATAAAGAATTTATTAAAAATAGCAAAAATTCAGGATGCGCATCATAAATTGCCGCATTTGCTCCGGAGCAGAAGCACCAATTAACGTTTTTGACCCTGCAAATAGTCATGTGGTTCGTCAAATTCATTCCATTACTGGGGTTGAGGTAAAGGCTATAAATATTCTTAAAACTAGGCACTTAACTTTGCTATTTATGTTTTCCAGCTAGTTTGCAAAAAAGAAATATCCAGCCACATGTGTATGGTTTGCTTGGGCGATTTGGATGCAGCTATTAAATTCCGCCAGCGCTGCATCATTTCCGAGAAGCAGAATCTGGAGAAGATTGAGCCCACCAGCAATGACGGCCCAAAAGAACCCACCAAGCATGAAGATATTGATGATAACCAAATCGAGCTTGCATTAGATGAATCCATTTTGATTCCTGAAATCAAAGAGCTTCCAAAGACTGCTGAAAAAGTCAAAACACCAATAATTTCGAAGCACCCAATACGAGATCGTAGAACTGGTCCATATATTTGCGAAGATTGCGGAAAATCCATTAACAACAGGACAAACTTTCAAGAGCACAAGCTCAGGCACACAGGCATTAAAAACTTTCACTGTCTTTTTGGGTAAGGAATTATTGACATGTTTATATTGTGATTAAGATACTTAGACTCTTTATCTTTTTTAGGGATTGCGGGAAGAGCTTCGCCACTCGGAAAGAGCTGACGCGCCACAACCGCAGCCACACGGGCGAGCAGCCTTACGTGTGCATGTATTGTCCACGTCGGTTCTCCGATACGAGTGCGCGCCAGGAGCACCACCGGCGCCACCGGAATGAGCGACGTTTTCAGTGCGACATCTGTGAGAAGAGTTTTGTAAGCTCCGGATGTCTCGGCAAGCACAAGATGACTCATGGCGCCATTCGGAAGCATTAGTGGGCATTTCGATTTGGACCAACTCCACATATTTTTTTTTACATGTTCCAACACCTTTTGATTTTTCAGCTGCTACGTTTGTCAGAAGCACTTCCAGCGGATCTCCCAACTGATGACCCACTTCGCCAGCAACGTTCATAAGGAGAAAGCCCAACAGGCCATTGAAATATAAGTATATCTAGTCATTATTTTTATCCGCCTTTTATATTACCTATTTTTAAGAAACTATGAGTTCTAAAACCTTATATTAACAAAAATATATGCATATTTGAGAAGATATGAGTGTAATTAATATTAAACTACAAGTACATCCTTAACCCAGTGCCACGCTTAGTCCATTGTTGTACGGCATTTATTGATGTTTAAAACAGTAAATTTTTGTTACATTTTGGCTAACAAAACAAAAAAAGTGTTTTTCAAAATATATTTTCAAACAACTGAATCCTTCCATGACATTTAATAGTGTTGTAAAAAAAATTTAAAGACATAAACATCTTAAATTTTTTCTCCAAGCAATTAAACTATCTATTATATATAAAATAAGTGCTTATATTAGTGAAGTGATTTAAAATGAGTATTCCAAAAAACAGAGGTAAATCATTAAAAACCCTTTACCCTTTTTCTTAATTATTAATAGTAGTCATTTAACTACAATGAAATAAATTATTGCCAACCTATGTTATATGGCATTTACTGATGTTAAAAGAAATATTTGAAAGCAATAAAATCTGAGTTTTAATAAAAATAAAAATGTCGGGTTCGCAAACAGCTTTGAAAACCCATGGGAGTCTTACACCAATAACATTCCAAACCAGAAATTTGAAATTCATACTTTTTACACATCCGGCTCGGAAAATTTGTACTCTTTTTATTTTTACAATATCTATTTATATTTAAATTATCTATTAAAATAATAATTGCAATTGTTAGGACTAGTAGATCTCTGAGTGCCGCATCGGTTCGTTATTCTGGTGGTTCCTAACAGTCTGTTGGTGGGTCATCGTGCCGATATGCTGCTCCAGCTGGTGCTTGCGGGAGAAGGTCTTATTGCATGGCCGGCAACTGAAAATGTGACTTTATATTAGACAGGCTTGTTGAAATTTTGCAGTAACCTACAGGAACGGTTTCTCGCCCGTGTGTGTAAGCATGTGGTTCTTTAGCACATTGGAGTAGGAGAATGACTTGCCGCAGGTGGAGCAGGTAAAGGGTCTTTCGTTCGTGTGGGTTCTGGAAGATAATCAATAAGTTAACAATGAACTCCTCTAGGGAAATAGACATCTCACCTCTCATGGCGTATATTGGAGCTGCGGTCCGCAAATGAACGGTTGCAGTATTTACACGTAAAGGGTTTTTCGCCCGTATGCACTCGAATGTGACGATTCAGCTCGGATGGACCCGCAAAGGTTTTGCCGCAAATTCTATAATTGTAGGTAATTATTGTTTCTATCAGATAAATTGCTTTTGGATACTAGAGTCCTGCGTGAGGGCATTTAGATTAGAACTTTACCATAAGTACAAGTTTACTGTTCATTAAATTGATTAAGCATAACAAATGTCAGGGTATTCTTAAACTTGTTTTCGTTTTTAAACCCCCATGAATGAATTCATGCAATACTCTACTGGATACCTACTCGCATTCAAATGGTTTTTCGGCCATGTGGCGACGCATATGAATGTTGAGTGCCGCTCGCTTGGAGTATATATTGCCGCAAATCTCGCACATGATATTTGTAGAGGACTCCTCGGGCGAGGACTTGCAGCTCGATTGCACTGAAGGGCGTTCCTGGCTAAGACTGCGTGGATGTCCGGAGCCAGAGCCGCGTGGTCGTCCGCGTCCGCGTTTACCCATCCGCGATTTTCGCGCCTTGGGCTTGCGGCAGCGTTCGGTGGGCTCGTAGTCGCTATCGGTGCTATTCGGCACCAACAGGTCGTTCTCGTCAAGTTCATCCACCACATTGGAGATATCAAAGGGCTGAGTGGTTTCCGCAACGCCATCCTCCAGTCGCTCCTCCATCATGTTCTCCATCTCGATGTCCTCCTCCACGCCATCGATGAAGTCGTTTGCCGACTCGTAGATGTACTCGATGTGATCCGCAACTATGTGTGGCACCTCGTCTGTTGGCTCAGACTTCATCTCCGCCTGCCATAAAGAGAAATGTAGTTTAAAGCGGGTGCATTGGGTGTCCCACATACCTTGACAACATTGGTGGCAAACGTCCGCTCGCTCTCCTGGCAGAGCTCTCGGAACTTGTGTGCGCTGGTCAGACGCTCCACGCAGCTGTAGCACAGCATGCTCGGGATATTCTGTAGCGGCACCAGCTGGAAAATCAGAGCGGGATTAGTGGCGGAGTTTGGGACACAGGTGCACCTTCCACCACATGTACCTTGATGCTGCCCACTTCCTCAATCTTGCGCACCAGTTCCCGGCACTGTGCGTCCTCGTCGTCAAACAGTGGAGCCATTGCCTCCGAGTTGATGTCCTCTGTCAAGCAGATCCTGCACAGCATGTACTCGGGCATGATTTTGCTTATCTTGGCCCTCCCGTATGTTTGCAAATCAGTGAAATAAACAAGCGTCTTGAAACTTTTCCCAGGGTTGTCAGGTGTTGCAAACTCTGCACAATTATCGAACCTATTGTCAACATATCGATTGGTGGTAAATAAATATTTAGAAAAACATTGCTTTGAAACGTAAAATATTTTAAAAGCAGAACATTGAAAGCAGAACATTGTAATATATGTATATAATTATGTTTTTTTTAAAATTAAAGGCCTAGCTAAACTAATAAAACTGGTGCTGTCATGTAGCATATGGATAACAATAAAAATGTAATTAAATAATAAATTTAATTATTTGCTTTATTTAAAAATTTTTAATTTTGCAACATTTTAAAAATCATCAATTCTGAATAATTTAAGTCCAAACGATAGTTTTGAGCAATCAATATTGTAAATGCTTAATGGCGTACTTGGCAACCCTAATATTTTCAATGCCAGCTCTGGCATTTGAATCGGAATTTGTCGGATATCAAGGAAGAATTCCTGGAGCATACAATGGAAATCAGTATTAAGTGGAGCATGTGCCGCACTTGCACCGCCAAGAAAGGCTCAACGCTCCAGCCTCTCTTTCAATCCGAAGCCCATAAGCAGTTGGTCTTATATGCCGGCATAGTTGTAAGTTCATGAGATTAGTTAGTTTTGGTTTAGTTTTGTGATCATTTAGTCATTTCACACTAATTGTTAGATCGAACCGGATGATGGATTGCCAGATCAGATTTGCTCGGATTGTGTGGACAGACTGGAGCAGGTGGACCGATTCCTAAGCGAATGCAAAAGATCTGATGAGCACCTAAGAGCCCTCGTCCGCCAAACAATGTCCTCGGCAGCTGCTTTTCAGGCCAATAAAAACCATGATCCGCCTGCTAGCCAGAGAAAGCGTGCCAGGAAGCAGAACATTTCAGAGAGAATAATGGAAGAAAAGCCATGCATCATCAAGACTGACGAGAGTCCCGCAGAACCAAAGGAAATACAAGCCAAAGCAGTCCAATTTGTACCTAAAATGAAATCCCAATCCCCAGAGGAAACAGGGGATTTCGTATTCGTCTTAAACGTCAATACGAATGACGAGAAATCCACAAGCCTGGAAGACTACAACATTCGTGATTTAGTCAAGGATTCTATGGAAGATAATGACTTGGAAAGTTCATCGCAGGACGGCACCCTCGTTATAGATAGCATGGAGGACCCCAGTGAGGAGTCCCAAAAGTCGGAGCCAGTCGTCGAATACGATGTAGATCTAGGCGTGGCCTGTGAGCCGGACAAGTACAGATGCAAAATCTGCAGCAATACTTACGGTCACCTCTCACAGCTCAAAGTTCACATGACATTTCACCGCGATGAGAAGGGCCACGAGTGCGAGTAATTATCGCTGGTATATCTTACAAATCTAGATTAACTAATAAAGTGCTTGTTTTAGGGTTTGCCAAAAGACATTCAGGGCGGCCTGCAACCTGAAAACTCATATGCGAACACACACGGGCGAAAAGCCCTACAAATGTTCATATTGCTCTCGCCGATTTGCTGATTGCAGCACTCATCGCAAACACGAACGGTATGGGAGCAATCTTAAAATTAATATTTTTAACATTAAAACCCCCAATTAGCAAAGGCTGTTAGCTGGTTTTTTGTGACCCTTTAATTTGTACGTTACCAAATTCTCTTTGATTAATGATTGCTCTAATAATAATAGTTTAATATTCTCCCATTTTGATTTTCAGCATGCACACGAACGAACGGCCCTATGCTTGCAACATTTGCGGAAAAACCTTTTCACTTTCAACCTCTCGCAAGGCCCACTACCTTCTGCACAGTTCTGACAAGCCGCACAAGTGCCACTCTTGCGACAAGGCTTTTCGCCTAAAACACCAGCTCACGGCGCACATGAAGACAAATGCTCACTATCTGGGTGTGACATCAGTTATCCAGGATAGCGACCTTATGGAATAGCTAATAAAAATAAATATAAATTTATGACAAACTTGTCTTTTTTTCTAGCCTGAAATACTTTTAGCAAACTTAAATTATAATATATTTGCAGCGCATTAGCTTTGCGAGAAGTCCGTAGAGTTGGGAATGGTGCTTTCCAGTTTGTTGCGGTGGGTGAGGGTCTGCAAATGGGCCTTTAACTGATGCAGCAGGGTGAATGACTTGGAGCATATGTCACAGCTAAAAGTGGAAAATCATTTAATTTTGGCTCTAATTCGGCGAGTATTCCCTCTTACTTGTAATTTTTTTCGCCGGAGTGGACCAGAAGATGATTCTTTAGTATGGCGGTGTGTGTAAAGGTCTTGCCGCACTCTTGACAGGCGTAGGGACGAGTGTTAGTGTGTACCCGCTCGTGGCGAACTCTTTCGCTTCGATCATAGAAGTGGCGGTCGCAGTACATGCACTTGTAGGGACGCACTCCCGTATGGCGTCGGATGTGAGCCCGCAGCTCGCCCATTTGGCGAAAGGATTTGTTGCAGATTCTGAAATAAAATTAGGTTTTTATAGCAAAGGCATAACATGATGAAAAATGGAAACCATGTTTAACACATATTCAAATATTTTAACATCGCTATCATTTTGGACTTACTCGCATTGATGTGGTTTGTATTCCGTATGGGTCATCAGATGGGCGGTGAAGATGGATTTCTTGTAATAGACGTTGCCGCACAGATTGCAGACAAACTTGTCTTCGGTCTTGGTCTTGGACGCTTTTCCCTTGCCGTTGATGTCCTTCCGCTTGAACTTGAGTTCGCTGTCGGGCTTACGGGGCCTGCCCAGCTTCCGGAACCTTCCTGAGTTGAGCGTGTCCTCTTGTGGGCTGGGAGCCGGCGAAGGTGAGGTTGAAAGAAAATCATCTTCGTTGAGCTCCTCGTAATCGACCTCATAGTATTCTTCATTTAGGAGGGAAGAATCCTCCACGAGCTCACCCTTATCTTCAATGGTTTCTGCCACTTCTGGATCGTTAGCGTAGGCGTCCAGGTGGGAAATCAACATTTGTTCAGAACTCTCTTTAATTTGCTCATCATCCTCTTCGATTTGATCGTTTATGATAAATCCGTTAATATCGAGGTCTTCTTGTACTTGATCCTCTAGCTGTTGCTCCTCCTCCGCCACTTGGCTGATCTCCTCCTGGCAATTGTTCCCAGGGCTCAAATTCAGCTGGAGATTTTCGTAGAGATACTCCATGTACTCGCCATCGCTGACTTGAACCAAATCATCCGGTCTCTCCGAATCCGGGCAACTTGTTTCCCAGTATACCTGTGAGTTCAGGCACATCTGGCGAAAGTTGAACCACATTCGGACGAATTCACTACAACTGCTGCAGACCTTTGTTGGCATCTGGGCAGATCTACGAACCTGGAGGGGATTGGAGTGAACCGTGAAGTATCGTAATGATTTTCCTTTTGCAGTTCTATTCACCTTTATGCCGCAGCAAAACTCCACCTTCTCGTTTAGCAGATCATTGTTTTCAGCCTCATCATCAAACAGGGAACTCATTGTCTCCTCCTGGGAATCGGCGAGGCATATCCGGCACTTCAACAGCACCACCGGCGAGCTTGTGATATTCATCCTGGAGAGCAGTTGGCAGCAAGTAGGCTGGTTTATAAATTAAATAGTTTGTAAACAAAACAACAAAATCAACATTACAATTCCCTGTGTGCCCGCAACTGATGTGTCAAAATATACCAGTGCATATTTAAAAAAATACCAAATCTAATTTTAACTGGGCATATTATGCAAAATACCTGTTTCTTAAATTTATATTTTAGCCTAGTACTCAATCAAAACAATTTCGGAAAAAGTTTAATCTTTCTTTTTAAGAGTTCAGAATTAAATGTGCTACGTTCGTACTGTCAATCAGCTGGTTTTGTTGACAAACAGATAAAATTAAAAAACTTATTTGCAGGAAGGGGCAACGAAATTTAAAAACAATAAAATTTGAATTGGACAGCTTATTTTACAAATTTACTAATTATTTTTGGTAATTTAAAGTTCATTGCTGCACAACACTCTCGCAGCCAACTTTTGATTAAAGAAACACTGTGCTCTGAAAACAGACACTTCAAAGGACTACATTTTCTAATCTTTTCGCTAGGGCCTAACGAGCGTTCACCAAAAGTTAATTCTGCAGAAAAAGATTTTAAAAAATATTTTATTTAAATCATTTGTAGACTTTTTATTATTTTTACATTCAAAGATTTTGCATAAACAATGAGAACTAACAAAATGTTTTGAGGACAAAATTAAATGTGGCAATGGAATAAACTTTCTCCAACAGCAAGCGAAGTTTCCCGCTAGAATGTGGGCAACACTAGTTAATTATTTTAAGTAATCCCCGAAAAGTATTTTTCTGCTCCGCCCCTGCAGGTATGTCATTTTTAGGTCCTATTTCACAGAGACGAGGGTTCGATATAGCGGCTCAGTCACGGCCACACTTATTTCGTCTTTCGAACTGTACGAACGTGCCGCGGCATCTGCTCTTGGACTCTTATTTTCCGTTTTGTGTGCATTTCCCACTTGCATTTTGTGTGTTTCACGTCATCGCGTGTGTGCCAGTTTTATACATTTGTAACCAAGCGTTTATTTACTGCTAAACAGCAAGATGATCTCCAACTTTGATTGTACCGATAATCAGGCCAGCAGCAAGTAAGTAAACCCGAGTTGTTGCCGGCATTTTTTTAAAAAATTGAAGTGTGCGTGTAGGCGTGTGCACTGGTATTGGTTAGGATTTGCAGATTTGCAATAACAACGCTCAGTGCCGTTCTTCACTAGTTCCTTTTTATTTTTTTTTATCGTTCCGTTGCTTTTTTGTGTGTTTCCTCCATTAACTCTATTCACCATTTCCGTTCCGAATTCCTTATCCGCTTTCGCCTCCCGATTCGCACAATGCGTGTATTGATCTTTTAATGGGTTAACTGTTCATTTGGATCGGTGATTATTCCTATTCGAGTCGAGTTTGGAACTCCATCTTTTTGTTATGGACTCGTTAGAAAACGCCCTTAACAACCGAAATTTGATATATGTGTAACCCCCGCTGTCAATAGGACTTTATTTCAGCTGCAACTGGGGAAAATTTACCATTTAAAGTAGTTAGTACATGCATAAGCATATGTATGACTGTGTGTGTGTGTTCTGATGGACAGTGGTGGTTCTAGTTAAGTGCACACTGCAATGTCAGCAAGTGTGCCAGTTTTCCTGCCCAGCCCCCGCCCCCTATAGCGTATATCACCCGATGGACATCTCGAACCTTAACCCACCCCGCACCTCTATCGCTTTTATGACTGCAACCAAAGTGGCGCTTGTTTTTGTGTTTTCGTTCTCTGTGCCAGTTTTCAAATTGGTCATCACTCCATTATAGTGCTGTGAAAAGAGCTGAAGAAGGCAAAAATATAATGGAAAACTGTGCAGAGCAAATAGGAAAATGTAGACTAATTTAAATATCATTATTAATTTTTGTAATATTGCTAAAAAACATAAAAATAATATATTTTCCTTTCTGATTATCATCTATAATTCGTGATTGTTGTTAAAGAATAAACAAGTTACATAAATTTAGGCATGGCGTTTTTCTAAGTAATCATAATTGTATTTCCCTCTAAAACGGCACTATTAATTACATATTTCTACCAGACACAATAATAAATTGGAAAATTATGATTTGGTTACAATCAATAAAGCATTTATTTCATGACACATTACCCGTAAATCTTGTAAATAAACACTATTTTCTATTAATCATCTGGTAAATACAAACTATTATACCTAGTTTGTGAAGAAAGCCGATCAAAAGGGTATTCAAAATACATCCTTTTTGATCAGAGTAATAAAATGTGTAATATTTCAAGTAAAATGAATGGTTAGGCAATTTATTATTAAATAATAATATATGAGCCATTTATAGTTCCAGAAATCCAATCAAAATCTAATCTATATGACAGTTTTTACGAAAGCAAGGAATAAACTAATTATAAACAGTAAATTCCCTTATACAGGCCGATTTCCTATCTATTTTTGAACACATATGGGTCTTAAAAATAGCACCAGCTTTCCCGTTCTTAACCTTTGCTAGTGTTCCGGATTCCATACTTCTCCAATTCGCCTCCTTGAGTCACTTTAAAATCTGCCAGCAGCTGTTTCGGTTCGCACTTATCATCATAATACGGGTAATTGCCGCGATAGATGATGAGTAATTGCAATTGAAATCGATGGCGTTCTCGTTTCTTCTTCGCCTTGCTGTTACAGTGATGGCCAGTGATTAAGGGCACACTCCTGCCCACCGGCCTCCCAAATTGTAGTTTTCCCGGTATAACCCAGGTCCCCGATATGGGGGATACTTTCTGCCCCAATATCGTCACGTGCCATACTCAGTGCTTAACTATATTTAACTATAGTCACGCGATCTGCGAGTATGCCTGTGTATCTGGCCAAGAGCCACTGCAGCGAAGTTTGAGGCTGAGTGGCAAGTGCATTGAACTCGGGACACATTGCATGTTCGCTGTTGTTGTTTGACTCGCCATAAAACTAAATGTCGATTTTGATTGCCTAGCCGCGACTAGTTTGGCCAGCAGTGGGTTTGGGACTGGGATTGGGTCTGGGCGCAGCCCTAGAATGAGTCAATGGGTCTAATTCCCGGCATAATATCCAGAGAAAGCCGCACAGCCGGAGAATGCAGCCAGTCAGCCGCACCCAAAATGCAGACAGACGGGCCCACATTAATCCGGCATAGGAACAGTGCTAGATCTACACTTAACTAAGTTTTTGACCCAATAATGGTAGATTTTTGTTGTGGCCTTTTACCACGCACACTAATTATTAGTTCTCATGACTAATATAAGAGCTTTATGTCAATTCTAAGAGCTATATAATTATTTATATTCTATGAAATAATGGTATTTGCTTTTAGCCAAATAAAAACCATAAATATTTTGTAGAAACCTTAAGTATAAGGTTTTTTTTAAGTGTATTGCCAAAGGAGGAGTTTTAGAGTTTTAGTTTGTCACTGACGCATGCAACCCACGATAAGCAACCCCGACGGAGGCCATAGTAGGACATATCTGTCATGTGGTCCGTCCTCCGTCCTCTGTATCTGCCACAGTTCCATTCCCCTGCCACTTTCCAAATGCATTTGCTCTTGATGTTGGTCAGGGTGGGCCTGGTAGATAAATGGTTTTCTGTGTAAATTAGGGAAGCCCTAGCGAGTCACGTTTCCTGTGAGCGGGGGATCTTCATTCTCCAGCCGTGAGTCAGGCCCAAAAGTCAACCTAATTTATAGATGATTAATGGAGTGGGCCACGACAACAAGAACTTAAGCCCTCAACTAACTAACTTTTTGTTTGCTCTTTCCTCGTTGCAGGTAAGTCCATGTTTACGTCACTGTGGTGTCCTTATTTGGCTGTAGTTCCAGTACATAAACCCCATTGGCTTGGGTGCCGTACAAGCGGAACTCAAGGCTGTCTGCGGGGCCAATGCTAAACGCTCCACTAAGCAGACAGCTGTGTTTCTCTGTATCTTCTATCTGCGCCAAGAAAGTCGAGTCATTGAGTGACAATTTCGGCAACATTTCCTCTATAATTGGGCACACAAAGCCAGACGCTCGAGCTCACTTTCGGTAATTGTTGTTAAGTAATAACGCGTCTCTCGTTGGCTTGGACCATTGGCCGCCTTATAAGGCCGGCCGTTTGGATTACCCGTTTTGCATAGCTATCTGCATCAGCTTGCCATTTGCAGAACGATCTGTTTGCGTCGAGTCTGCCTTCTGGCTGTTGTTGTACATGGGCGATTACCATTATGGTTTTGCTCTACGCCCTCTGTTTGTCTATACAGGGGCGGTCACAAAAATAGCAGGGCAAATAAACAAAACTAGTTCGTAATAGAAGTGGATTATAGGCAATGCTTCAGCTACCAGCGAGATCAATGAGAATACATATTAGAAAGTAATTAATGGTACCTCAGTACCTTGTTCAGTTTTCTAAAGCTTTAAAACACAGGACATCCTATCCTAATTGAAAATCAATTTTTAAGATAACAACTAAATGTATAATATAGATCAATAGACATCAATAGACTCTTTAAGCAAGGTCAAAAACCTTGTTTAATGTAAATCCATTTTTCTTAAATGTTTTACATTCCACATTTACATTCTGACAAAGTAACAAGACCAAGTTTAATTAAATGCGAAGAAATCTTCCGGGTGTGAAATTATGAACCTGGATGTGCGCAAGTTCAATTAGCTACGCTATTATTCCGACCGCAAGTGTATATGTATCAGCTTCCCCAACTCCCTTTGGTTATGAATTTATTGCTGAAACGATGCCTTGGATCCAGAGACGCGGATCCCTGACTCAGCAGAGCTGCTGATGGAAAACCTTTCAGCCAATTTTCTCTCCAGCCTCGCTCTTTGTTGCAATTTGCAGTTTCGCCAGCTGGCCCGACTCGGGTTAAATGAATTGCTCCCACACAGAGCCTCGGATCCGATGTATTTATAAGTTGTGCATATTTGCATTGTGGGCCGCCTTAGCCCGTATCCACAATCATCGGCAGGCTTCACACGTTCCATGGCGATTTCTTTGTGGGACTCGAACAGGGTGTGTTATTCCTTTGTTGCAGCCAGACGAGTCGCTCGCCTGGCTGTGAATCACTGATGAGTGCGTCGCCTGCTCCTG